TYYWAAAAAAAWKCRYACCGCATTTGGCATTCCTTAAAGGAAGCYCGAGCTCGAATCTGAGAACTTTAAAAAAGGTGSAAGGTCACTTCGCATTTTAGAAAGAAACTAGACGCACAGCTGCGTGGGGYTCTTGTTGATAAAAATCTAGTAGTGAATCCGYAATATTAATATTCAGCGTAAATTKCTATATCGATAAAGTTTGTTTTCCTCAGTAGAATTCTGTTCGTATTCCTTAGATAAGTCCTTTGTAGTTTCAGAGCTTGTATAAGTTAGTGTAGAGTTTGCTTTTAATAAGATACGTAGCTATAAATTTCACGATCAAGTTTCACGATAAATTCGTCTCTCCAAAAATGCACTTCCGAAAAACGCTCGATATTTTTGTGACGAAAGGCCTTATGGGGCCTCTCGTCACTGTGACGAACCGTAACCATCCACTTGTAGCAGGCGTTCCTTGCGAGTCCTTRATATGTTTAAGKTTRAAAWRRRAAAWYYTATAGAGGAAAAAAAACAACAACAATAAAGAAAAAAAAGAAAAAGAAAAGAAAGAAGGAAAAAAACCCCAAGAAATCAAAGAAAAGGAAAAAGATTAACAAGAAAAAAAGAGAAATTCCAGCAGCAGGACTCGAACTCAGAACTATTACTTCAGGAAAAGATGTACCCCCCGGAATACATAAGAAATAATGAAAATAAAAAAGCTAAAAAGATGGGACGATTCCCCCGAGACATTCTATGAAGCTGAGGCGTCGAATCGGCTTACGTTACGGTTAGAGATTTCGGCTCTCCCACGCTATCCCGAGTGAACATAAAACTTAGTCTTAACCAAAAGGCCAGGGAGTGAGGGGGTAGCCGCCCACTAGAGCATACCTTTAGCTACCCTCTTAGACCATCGTACTATGAGGACACTTATAGATATCTAATATCTAATTGGGGTAGTCTATTCGGTGAAGTTCTATGCTAATATATGACGTCACCTAAACCCTTAGGGAGCAGCGAGCCAATCAGAGCTCAGCCCAGGAATTAGCAAGCGATACAGGGTTTGCATAATCATTCTTCAGTGGATTTATTATTTGAGGGGGGTGGGGATGGGTTCCGAGTGCTRGTTTGCGGCCGAATACCGATGTACTCGATGAACTGTGACGCCTTTCATCGAGCTGTTCAACTGTCGTTATTGTTTTCCAAATCACCACAGGAAACGGTGTACAGTTCTTACATCTGACAGACATTACTAGTATTCGGGTGAAGAGCACGACAAATATATGGTTTACAGACCAGGCAGATACTAGCTGTGTTGCTAAAGATTTGCCGGGATTCAACGGAGCAATTTAAATCCTCTGAAACTCCAACATTACACTCGAACGTTCCACATGCATTTTCGTTGTTTATGATATAAAAGTTTATAAATGGGTTAATATTAATTATCAAATGTAAATATAGTGAACGATAACAATTGAAGAGGATTAATGACTAAACCGTATAAAATTAATAAAGAATGGTAAAAAAATTAACAATCTTTAGGTTTTATTGCAAATTATAAACTATAATCAGGCGAATTCTAGTAAAAATACAGTTTGAATGATATAAATATTTTATCGAAGAAAACGTTCGAGAATTTGATCATGGGTTTATAAGTCAACAGATACAGAAAGATGTCTTTGACTCGGCTAAATTAAAGCTCTAAGCAATCCATGTCGCGATAACAAGCCCTTTTCCAAATCTTTCAGATGGATATGTTTACTGTAGGCAGCAGGACAGGGCGCCCCTGAGTCAGGCCCTCACGGGAAGCGAGAATGATCAACCATCACAATAGGTTCCTTGGCCCCTGGGAATCGCCGGCTCTTGTGTATTTATAGTCCACGTTCCATTTCCTTGCAGCGTATACAGATAATTCAGAAAACGTATAATGAAAATAGTAAAAAGTTTTAAAACCGTGACACAGGCCTTCGGGCTGGACACGGTAATTAACATACTTTTGTAATCGTGGAACATTAGCTACTCTGTATTATAATTTTCCATTACAAGTAAAATTCAACTAAATTCTATTATTTAGATCCCATGTGAAATGATGTGTGTCTATTCTTTATTTTAGTCAARCGAGACGATTCTTCTAATGTTACTCTAAGTGGGAATGAAACTATTAGTACTAATGGAAGCAAAGTAGCACAGGCACCTCCAGGATTGGGTGGCACTGGAGTACGATATCCAAGTACGTTATTCTATACAGATTCTCACCAATCACTTAATCAATCAGTCTTCTTTCACTGGAAAAAAATCGCGCACTTTAACGGTTGTAAATTTAATATAAATATTATGTAAGTGTCAAAAATGATGTTAATTTACAAYCTTTAAAGTGCGCGATTTTTCCCAGTGTTTCACGCAGTCAGTCAGTCAAATAATCATTTAATCAATCAATCAATCAATCCACTATGTAGTAATTGATAACTGCCATTTGGTTTCAGTTTGTATCTATGAATTGGGTGTTTCCAACAAGCTGATTATTCAAGACAGTCAAATTACAGCAAGCTCGTATTATGGTACCGAACACCTCAGACCCCACCAGGGACGTCTAGGGGGATTATTCGGTTGGTGTTCTAAAAGGGGGTCTTCTTTAGCACCAAAGGAGTATCTACAGGTCGATCTTGGTGAGCGAAACTACAATTTTCTCACGTAATAGGCTAAATATGCGCAATCATATTTCTTCTTCATTCCTCGTGGCACATATGGCCTCCAGAACGTTTCTACTTTCCTCTGKTGGCTGCTGAAGTCTTTGCTTCTTCCCATGGCATCTCGTCACTCTCCAACGCCAAGTAAAAATAAGCACAATAGGTCTACTTTATCGTGATATATCTTATGTTTTCAGGTGTTTTGAGGTTGATCAGTGGTGTTGCTACCCAAGGCAAACAGGATACAGATGATTGGGTGACAATGTATAATTTACAATACAGCTTAGATGGCTCTAAATGGATCGACTACGAAGAAGATGGACAGACAAAAGTGAGTATTAAGTCCTATCCGTTATAAATGATTTACTTGTGGATGTTTGCAAATGCAGACTAGTCGTTCCTTAACTGCATCCCATAACGTGATAAATACCCTTATCTGAATGCGCACAATGTGGACTTTCACTCCACCAATGGCCAGCGACATATGTTACATACCTGTATATCATTATTAGAATAATAAACATTTAATATTCATTGATTATGGCAATTTGATTTTCATTTTAGATGTTTGAAGGGAATAGTGATAGGAATACACCTGTAATTAACTATCTATCACGTCGAGTAGTTGCACGGTACGTTAGAATACGTCCTCGCGCCTGGAGAGGCTACACTGTCTGTATGCGGGCTGAGATATATGGATGTTCGTTCAGTCAAAGTAAGTTTTATCATGACCTCCCCCCTCTTCTTCCTMACACTGAAAACAAAACCACTTTTTCATTGACTCTTGCACCATTCCTTTCTCGTTTTTCAAATTATATACCTGATCAAAAAGGGGTTTTATGATGGTAAATTTCTCCGATTTTTCTAGTTGATTTGGCGGTGAATCAAACTACRAAACAGTCAAGTACATATTTAGAAGGTGTTTCATCCAGAGCAGTTGATGGGCAGATTGATCAAGATTTTATCAAAAGTAAGTGTCATTTTAGTGTTGAACTGTCGGCTTTAAGGAAAGTCGAAAAATAACAGCCTGACATATCAATAAGATGATAAACTATACTCTTTACTTTTACAATCAAGATTTTGGATGATGTACTGTGTTACGGTTTGCTAAAACTCAACCGTTTACCGACACCAAAGCTTATTTTCCTATCATTTGCTTTACAGGCGACACTTGTTCACTCACCATGTCCCAATCCAACCCTTGGTGGTCCCTGGACTTAGGTTATACAACAACAATCAAAGAAATCTTCATCGCTAATCGTAAAGACAACATTGGAAAAGAGTTAACCAACTTTGAAATAAGAATCGGGGACAGCAAAGAAGGTCATGGGGAATTCAACAAGAAGTGTGGAGACAAGCACACTGTAAACCCAGGAGAGTTTTCGACGGTTGTGTGCAATAACACTGGTCGATATATCTATATAAGTCTGCCTGGTGACAATAAGAGGCTTTCCCTATGTGAAGTTGTTCCATATGGAATGGGTAAGTGGCTGCTATGAAGTTGACATGTCAAAACCTGAGAAAGATGCTGCTTTTGAAAACATGGGAACAAGGTTTTAAATGTATAGAATTCATGATGCCGACAATACTCCAAAGAGGAAGAATCCAACAAGAAAGTGTTTAATTAAAAATATAATAATAATTTACGAGACTTATTTCTATTGCTGTTTTAACTGGGTTTGTTGCATTTAGATCCAAAGTTAGTTGGCTACAGCCCTCAAGAAGCTTTACAAGTTGTGAATGCAGTAAGACAAGCTGAAATATATCGACAACAAATACTTCGATTACAACAGATTCAACGACAGCAGCAGATTCTAATGTACTTGTACTACATTAATCTGTTGAGAAGCCAGAATCAGACAGCGAATGCTACCGATCAGTTCTCCAATGCCACCAAATCTGGAAATGAGACTTTTTCTCAAGGCATGGGACAAGCCACAAATCTTACTAGACAACTTCAAGGGCTGTTTGGAGGTATGCAAGGACAAGGCAGTGGTTTAATTGGTCAAGGTGCCGGTGGACTGCAAGGTCAGGGTGG